TGGCATGAAGGGGGTTTTGAAAAGCGTACAAAGAGGTCCATGAAATGGGGGTGTCAGACGTGGCGGATGAGCGGCGTGCGTACCGGGCGGAGCCAGCGCAGGTTTTTGTAGGGTGGGGGGTCCTTGAAAAGTTCAGGCGGAAGGTCCAGGAGGGGGGGGGTGTCAGACGTGGTAGGGGGGCGCGGTGTGGTGCTGGGCGGGTGTTGGCGCAGGTCTTGTAGCGTGGGGGGTCCTTGAAAATTCAGAATCAGAAAGACGGTCCAGGTGGGTCATGGGGGTGTGAGACGTGGTGGGGGGGCGCGGTGTGGGTGCTGGCGGGGTGCCGGCGCAGGTTTTTGTAGGGCGGGGGGTCGGTGGGAGGTCGTTCAGAAGTTCAGAAAAAAGGCTCCAGGAGGGTGGAGGTGTCAGACGTGGTGGGGGAACGCGGTGTGCGTGCCGGGCGGGTGCCGGCACAGGTTTTTGTAAGGTGGGGGGTCCTTGACAAACTCAGGCAGAGGGTCCAGGAGGGTGGGGGTGTCAGACGTGGTGGGGGGGCGCGGTGTGGGTGCCGGGCGGGCGCTGGCGCAGGTCTTTGTAGCGTGGGGGGTCCTTGAAGAGTTCAGAATCAAAAAGTCCAGGAAGGTGGGGGTGTGAGACGTGGTGGGGGGGCGCGGTGTGGGTGCTGGCTGGGTGCCGGCGCAGGTTTTTGCAGGGTGGGGGGTCTTTGAAAAGCTCACAGAGGGTCCAGGAGGGCGGGTGGTGTCAGTCGTCGTGGGGGGGCGCGGTGTGGGTGCCGGGCGGGTGCTGGCGCAGGTTTCTGTAAGGTGGGGGGCCTATGAAAAGCTCAGAAAGAGGGTGCAGGCGGGTGGGGGTGTCAGACGTGGTGGGGGGGCGCGGGTTGGGCGCCAGGCGGGTGCCAGCGCAGGTTTATGTAGGGTAGGGGGTCTTTGAAAAGCTCGGAAGGAGGGTCCAGGGGGGTGGGGGTGTCAGATGTGGTGGGGAGGCGCGGTGCGGGTGCCAGCCGGGTGCCGGCGCAGGTTTTTGTAGGGTGGGAGAGGGGGAATTCTTTGAAACGTATACAAAGACGGTCAAGGAGGGTGGGCGTGTGAGACGTGGTGGGGGGGCGCTGTGCGGTGGCCGGCCTGGTGCTGGGGCAGGTTTTTGTAGCGTGGGGGTCTTACAAGAGCTCAGAAAGAGGGTCCAGGGTGTCAGACGCGGTTGAGGGGCGCGGTGTCGGTGCGGGCCTGGTGCCGGCGCAGGTTTCTGTAGGGTGGGGGTGTTTGAAAAGGTCAGACAGATGGTCCACGAAAGTCGGGGTGTCAGACGTGGTGGGGGGGCGCGGTGTGGGTGCCGGCCGTGTGCCGGCCCAGGTTTATGTATGGTGGGGGGTTTATGAAAAGCTCAGAAAGAGGGTCCAGCAGGGTGGGGGTGTCAGACGTGGTGGGGGGGCGCGGTGGGGGTCCCGATAACAATGCGCAGAGAAGGTGCAGAAACGTGGGGATGTCAGACGCGGGGGGGGGGAGGGCAGGGGGGCGCGGTGATGGTGGTCTTGGTGGCGTTGGCCGGGGAGGGGGGGATGTCAGACGTGGTTGGGGGTGCGGGTGGCTTGGAGCGGGGAGAAGAACACATTATGTGGCACAGAAGGAGTACCAGGCTGGGAATCGTGGAGTCGTGGACAGGTGAGAAGTTGAGTCTCACACGCCTCTGGGGTCGGCGGATTTAAATATGTGCCCGCGACTATATTTACGTAAATAACTTGTTGGAGCAATCCTCAGCTGACTATCCAACTCCCTCGCCCCATCTTCACTGTTCCTGGTCTTGCCCGCACAGAGAGAGCGGGTACATGAGTTAGCGAAACACGTAAGTTATGAACTAATGAATCGAATACTTGCTCAAAGCACTTTGCATGTTCGTTTGGATGTACATCGACATGATTTCTTTGGGCAGCGTTCGGCTGACTATTCAACTCCCTCGCCCCCTCCTATTGTTTCTCGCCTGACTTGCACGGACCGTGGGTGAATGGGACATAACGACTTGCATACTTAAACAGATTAGTACAAGATGGTTTGGGTTTGTATTGCAATAGTTGCTTTGAGCAGCGCTCAGCCGACTGTTCAGTTCCCTGCCCCTCCAATCACCGTTCCTGGCTGGACCCGCGCACCGACAGTGGGCGAAGGAGTAAGGGAAGTATGTAGTTCAGTACAGACATGCATGAGAATACAAATATGTTAAAAACTATTTGGCCCGACGCTCACCTGACTGTGCAGCTCGCTTGCCGCCCCTCCACCGTTCCCTGCTTCACCCTCCACCGAAGGAGAAAAACAGTATCCTGGACTTCAGAGACTTGCCACCGACCATCCCTGGAGGTCCAGGATCATTTATGTATATGAATGTGATACACATTGATTCCCCTTTGTTGCGGATTACATGTTAGTTCTTCTTGTGGGAGATTGCACATTGATTTCTTTTGTGGCGGACTAGAAGTTGATTCATTTTGTGTGGCGGATTACACACTGGCTCCCCCTGTGGCGCATTACACCTTGATTTCCTTTGTGGCGGATTTCAAAGTGATGCCCTTTGTGGCGGCTTACACATTGATTCCTTTTGTAGAGACTTGCCACCGATGGTCTCCGGAGGTCCAGGATCATTTTTGGTCTTGTTCTTTTTATGTTTCACTTCTTGTATTTCTTCAAATTGACACACATTTATTCCTTTTGCGGTGGATCTCAAGTTCATCTATTTTGCGGCGGATTGCAAATTAATTGGATTCGCGGCGGATTACACATTGATTCCTTTTGCGGGGGATTGCAAGTCGATTCCCCTTTTGTTGCGGATTGCGCATTGATTTCTGGACTTCAGAGACTCGCCACCGACCGTCCCCGGAGTTCCAGGAGCATTGACTTGCAAATCTCTCAGAGTATTTCAATTGTTATATCTTTCCAAATGGACATACATTGTCTCCCTTTGCGGCAGATAGTCGGTTGATTCATTTTGTGTGGCGGATTCCAAACTGATTCCTTGTGTGGCAGATTGCAATTTGATTCCGTTTGCGGCGGATTACACATTGATTCTTTCATGTGGCGGATTACACATTAATTTATTGTGTGCCACTTTGAAAAATTAGCCCAAAATGCTAACTTATATAAACGAATCGATACTTAACCAGACGAAGGACCCAATCATATGCAGTTTCGAGTACCGCATTGTGGGCACCGATTTTGGAGGAGCTCCCTATGGGGCCACGAATCGCTGTCCTGGGTGGCGTTGACGCATGCGGCCTGTGCCACTGGAGCCTTCGGTGTAGCTCCCTGTGGGGCCACGAAGCGCTGTTCCGGGTGGCGTTGACGCATGCGGCCTGTTCCATTGGAGCCTTCGGTGGGGCTCCCTATGGGGCCACGAATCGCTGTCCTGGTGGCGTTGACGCATGCGGCCTGTGCCACGGGAATTTCCGGTGGAGCTCCTTATGGGGCCTGTCCTGGGTGTCGTTGACGCATGCGGCCTGTGCCACTGGAGCCTTCGGTGGAGCGTCTTATGGGGCCACGAAGCGCCTGTCCTGGGTGGCGTTGGCGCATGCGGCCTGTGCCACTGGAGCCTTCGGTGTAGCTCCCTATGGTTCCCCCAAACGCTGTCCTGGGTATCGTTGGCGCGTGCGGCCTGTGCCACTGGAGCCTTCGGTGGAGCTCCCTATGGGGCCACGAAGCGCTGTCCTGGGTGGCGCTGACGCATGCGGCCTGTGCCACGGGAGCCTTCGGTGTAGCATTGGGCCACGAAGCGCTGTCTCGGGTGGCGTTGACGCACGCGGCCTCTGCCACTGGAGCCTTCGGTGGAGCTCCCTATGGGGCCACGAAGCGCTGTCCTGGGTGGCGTTGACGCATGCGGCCTGTGTCGCTGGAGCCTTCGGTGGAGCTCCCTATGGGGCCACGAAGCAGGTGGAGCTCCCTATGGGGCCACGAATCGCTGTCCTGGTGGCGTTGACGCACGCGGCTTGTGCCACTGGAGCCTTCGGTGGAGTTCCCTATGCGGCCACGAAAGGATGTCCTGGGTGTCGTTGGCGCATGCGGCCTCTGACATTCAAGCATTCGGTGGAGCTCCTTATGTGGCCACGAAACGCTCTCCTGGATGGCGTTGACGCATGCGGCCTGTGTCGCTGGAGCATTCGGTGCAGCTCCCTATTGGACCACGAAAAGTTGTCCTGGGTAGCGTTGACGCATGCGGCCTGTGCCACTGGAGCCTTCGGTGTAGCTCCCCGTGGGGCCACGAAGCGCCTTCCTAGGTGGCGTTGGCGCATGCGGACTGTACCACTGGAACTTTCGGTGGAGCTCCCTATGGGGCCTGTCCTGGGTGGCGTTGACGCACGCGGCCTCTGCCACTGGAGCCTTCGGTGGAGCTCCCTATGGGGCCACGAAGCGCTGTCCTGGGTGGCGTTGACGCATGCGGACTGTACCACTGGAACTTTCGTTGGAGCTCTCTTGTGGAGCCACCAAACGCTGTCTTGGGTGGCGTTGGCGCATGCGGCCTGTGCCACTGGAGCCTTCGGTGGAGCTCCGTACGGTGCCACGAAGCGCTGTCGTGAGTGGGTGAAACGCAGGGAGGTGACGAGGCGGATGGGAGGAGGGAGGAGGGGTAGGAGGAAGAGGGGGAGGAGGAGAAGAGAGGATGAGGGACGCGGGGCGTTGTCTCTTCAAAACGAGGACCCAACACCACAGGATGGGTGGGACAAACGAAGGAACCTGGACCTCAGAGACTCGCCGCCGACCGCCCCGGAGGTCCAGGATCATCCGTGTTTTTTTGTTGTATACATATATACACTCAATATCCGTAGTTGTTCAAATTGACATACATTGATTTTTCTTGCGGCGGATTACAAGTTGCTCCCCTCTGTGGCGGATCACAAGTTTGATTCCTTTTGTGGCGGCTGACACATGGATTCCCTGTGTGGCAGATTTTAGATGGATTCTTTTTGTGGCGGATTACAAAGTGATTCCTTTTGTGGGGGGAGTACACATTGATACATGTAAAAGTCATACGAATGGATTTCAGATACTCGCCCCCGACCAAACCCGGAGTTCCAGGATCATTTCGACTGGACACATATTTCCCGTTTGTGGCGGATTACACATTGCTTTTGCGTTTTGCAGATCACAATTTGTTCCCCACATCCTGAGTGGGGATCTTGTTTTCCCAGAACATCCTCTCCTCCTCCTCCTCCTCCTCCTCCCGCTTCCTCCACCATCCCATACTGTATCATACCATACCAATACCATGCCACTCCATACCATACCTTACCATACCATACCATGCATCCACCATCCCATACCATACCATGCCTTTCCTCACATCATGTTATTTATCAGGTTTCGTGCCCCTCCCACCCCTCCAGGGAGGCCCCGCCTGAGCGAGCAGGGTATTCGCACACCATGTTATTTATCAGGTTTCGTGCCCCTCCCACCCCTCCAGGGAGGAGCCGCCTGAGCGGGCAGGGTATTCGCACACCATGTTATTTATAAGGTTTCGTGCCCCTCCCACCCCTCCAGAGGGGCCCCGCCTGAGCGAGCAGGGTATTCGCACACCATGTTATTTATCAGGTTTCGTGTTCCTCCCACCCCTCCAGGGAGGCCCAGCCTGAGCAAGCAGGGTATTCGCACACCATGTTATTTATCAGGTTTCGTACCCCTCCCACCCCTCCAGGGAGGCCCCGCCTGAGCGAGGAGGGTATCCGAAAACCATACTATTTACATGGTTTCGTGCCCCTCCCACCCCTTCAGGGAGGCCCCGCCTGAGCCCAGCAAGGGATTCGCACACCATTGTTATTGATCAGGTTTTCGTGCACCTCCCCACCACTTCCAGAGTGGGCCCCGCGCTGATTAGCAGGGTGTTCGCACAACCATGTTATTTATCAGGTTACGTGCCCCCACCCACCCCTCCCAGGGGGGCCCCATAGCCTGAGCGAGCAGTATTCGCACAAACCATATTATTAATCAGGTTTCGTGCCCCTCCCACCTCTCCAGGGAGGCCCCGCCTGAGCGAGCAGGGTATTCGCACACCATGTTATTTATCAGGTTTCGTGCCCCTCCCACCCCTCCAGGGAGGTTCCGCCTGAGCGAGCAGGGTATTCGCACACCATGCTATTTATCAGGTTTCGTGCCCCTCCCACCCCTCCAGGGAGGCCCCACCTTTTTTTTTTCTGAGGTGCTGCATGGACCCCGACGGTGCCACACGACTGGAGGGACGCGGCACTGGCCAATGGCCCTGCACAGGACACAGGCCTCTAATATACATAGAGACCGTCTACGCTCCTTGGCGCGGCGCCCCAAGTGGTCGCCTTGCTGGAGGGCCCTATGCTGGCCGCGCGGCCTGGCGGGCTCCGCGCCCAAAGGCGACGGTTGCCGTCGGGCTTCTTCGCCTGAGGCAGAGGCCGCCATCGCCCTGTTGCGGGGCTGGCCGACGGGCGGCGGCGGTGCCAAGCCCCGGGAGGAGGAGGAGGAGGAGGAGGAGGAGGAGGAGGAGGAGGAGGAGGAGGAGGAGGAGGAGGAGGAGGAGGAGGAGGAGGAAGACGAGGGGCAAGAGGAAAAGCACACCGAACAGACGCTGACCAGAAGGAGGGAGGGAAGCAGCAGAGGCAGTGCAGAGCAAGCAGGGGGCGGACGGAGGTGGTCGTCGTCGTGGCCAAGGCCAGGGGGGGTCGTCGGGGCAGGGCGTCGGGGGCGGTGGTCGTGGTCAGTGGAGGGAGTGGTCGTGGTCAAGGGAGGGCGGCGGTTCAGGCGGCGTCGGCCGCGCTAGCCGCCGTGGCCGCCGCCAGCCTGGCCGCGGGCGCCCCGACCGGCGCCTGCAGCCTGCGGAGCACGGCCCGCGCATTCTCCTTCTGGAGGAGATGCGAGAGTCGCTGGGCGTGCTCCGCCGCCACCTGCGATGGGTCGTCCCCCGTGGCGTCCGCCGCGCGCTTGGCCAGGACGGCCAGGGCGCGTCGCGCCTCCCTGCCCCAGCCGCCGCCGTGCGCCTCGACCACCATGGGAATCTTACCTGCGCTTAACAGGGGGTCTCGGGTCAGCCGCGCCCGTCGCTTCCCTTCTTCCGTGCCCTGAAGAAGAAAAGGAGGGGGGAATGGGGGGAGAAGGATGAGGAGGAGTGAAGAGGATCGGGGGTATCGGGTCAGCGCGCCCATCGCTTCCACTTCGGGGTCCCGCGAGGAGGAAGGTGGTGGAGGAGGAGGAGGAGTGCGAGGAGGAGGAGGACGGGGAGGATAAGGAAAAGGAGGAGGAGGAATCCTGTCATCGATCCCAGGATAGGATTGGTGGAAAAGCTCCCTGATCACCAGGTGAGTCCACATGATGATGATGACGATGATTATGATGACGACGCGAGTGATGATGTGCTACGCAATGTCATAAACAATTGCATGCATATATACATCATAACCACCATGACCATCATCTCATCGGTGCCTCGGCCCCGCAAGGCGCGGCGCGGATCATATGTGTGCATCTGAACATATACATAAACCGATGCCAATATTCATACATACCAGTCACCAACGATGAACGAGCCCCGCACGCAACCTCGCCCCGAAGTGATCCAAAAACGATAGCCCCAGTTGCGGAGTTTCGTATTGCTTCCCGCCTCAATCCAGCACGCGCCTCACACGTCGTTCGCTCCATAGGGGGGTTCCAATTATGGTCTCAATGAGTAGCTCACATGGCGTCTTCTCCGCCTCAATTCGGCACACCTTCACGCGTCTCTTGCCCCTATCCAGGTGGGGGATGCCGTATGGCGCCCCCGCCACCATTCGGCGCACTCCTCACACGTACCGCGACCCATAGGGATCTAAATTTCATTTACAGCTCCACTAGGGTTGCGCGCATGGCGTCCCCGCCTCAATCCCCCCATTACACGTTTCGTGCCCCATAAAAGGAATACCAACTATGGCCCCCATGGCGTGGCGCGCACGCGGTCCCGGCCTCAATTCGACACTCCCTCACGCGCTTCGTGCCGTCCACGGGGCTCCAACTACAGCCCCGATGGGGGAGCTGGCATGGCGTCCCCCCGAAATGGTTTAACGACGCCCCTCGCCCGTAAAGTGCCCCTAAGGGAGGCTTACCTACGGCCCCATTTGGGGGCTCTCATGACGTCCCCACCCCAACCACTCACACACAGATAGGCGCCCAGTACGGCGCAATTGGGGGAGGTCGCATTGCGTCCAGGCTCATTCGCATACTTCGCACGGGTCGTGCAATGTAGGGAACTACGGCCCGAGTGTGGCTGCGCGCATGTAGTCCCCGCTTCAATTCGGCATACCCCTCGCCCTGATCGCGCCCCACAAGGGGCTCCAGCTATGGCCTGAAGTGGTGCCGCAGGCATGCGGTCCTCGCCTCAAGTCGCCACACACGTCACATGGGCCCTAATTATAGCCCCAATTGAGGAGCGCGCGTGGCGTCCCCGCCTCATCTCGGCGAACCTCTCACACGTCTCGTATGGCCAAAGTGGGTGAGCTTCCATGGCGTCCAGAGTCCCCGCGTCAAATCGGCACACTTGCACGTGTTTGGCGCGCCATGTGGCTCTTCACTTACAGCTCTAGTGGTGTTTCTTTTGTGTGCACGGCGTCCCCGCGTCGATTCGACGCACATCTTATGCGCTTCGTGCCCCATAGGGGACCTCACTACGGGAAAGTTAGTGAGCTGGCATGACGCCATGCCTCAATCCAGATTCAATGTTCCCCATACCGCCTCGCCAAGATATGAAGAGAGGGCCATCCTTGCGGCGCGCGCAACTGCTGGGCACTTCGCAACATCCACACTGGGGTTCTTGGTATCTCTGCACACACCCCGTGCAATATATCGCCTCATCTCTCTCTTCCTCACCCTCGTCGAAATCATCGTCATCATCATCATCATCAGCATCATGGTCATCATCGCGGTCAGAAACAACATCGCGAGGACATCCTTCTCTTCCCTTAATCAGCCCTACAGACTTTCACCCTACAGACCCCAAACCTACAGGCCCTAATCCTACATATCCTAACTATACAGACCCTACTAACCCGACAGGCCTTAACCCCACAGACTCTAACCTCGCATGTCTAACCCTACAGAGCTTAACTCTTACCCGAACCCTACAGACCCTACTAACCCTACAGACACCAACATAACACTACATACCCTAACCCTACATACCCTAACCCCACATACCCTAAGCCTACATACCCTAAGCATACAGCCCCTGCTAACCCCACAAAACCTAAACTTACATACTCTAACCTACAGACTCTAACCGTACAGCCCCTAACCCGACAGACCCCTATACATACAGACCCTGCTACCCTACAGGCCCGAACCCTACCGACTCCAACCCTACGTACCGTAACCCTACAGACCCTAACCCGACATGCCCCATCCCTACAACCCTCCCAACCCTACATATCCAAACCCTACGGACTCTAACCCTACATACCCTAATCCTACACTTCCCAACCCTACAGACCCTAACCTCACATACCCTACTAACCCGACAGACCCCAACCCTGCATATTCTAACCCTACAGAGCCTAACCCTACATACCCTAGACATACAGACCCCATTCCTGCAGACCCCACTGCCCCTACAGGCCCGAACCCTACATGTTCCAACCTCAGACCCTAACCCTACACCCGAACACTACATACGCTACCTCGACATATCCTCACCCTACTGACCGGAAGCCTACACACCCTGACCTTACAGACCCTTACTAACATACCCTAACCGAACAGACCCTAATCCTACAGACAGTAACCTTGAATACCATACTGGCACGACAGGCCTTAACCCTACAGACTCTAGACCTACAGACTCGAACCCTACAGGCCCTTACCCTACAGGCCCTAACCCGACATACTCGACGAACTCTACATGCCCTAACCCTGCAGACTCTAACCCTACAGACCCTAGCCCTACACACCCTAACCTTACAGACCATAACCCTACATACCCTACTAGCCTCACAGACCCCAGCCCTACATACTCCAACCCTACAGACACCACCCTTACATATTCTAATTCTAACACTACAGACCCTAACCTTACATACCCTAACCCTACAGACGTTAACATCACAGACCCTAACCCAACTTACCCTAGCCTTGCAGAACCTCGCACTACATACCATAAACCAACATACCCTACAAGCCCTACTAACCATACAGGCCCTCACGCTACATATTCTAACCCTGCAGACCCTAACTGAACCCTACAGACCCTAACCCTACAGACCCTACTACCCCACAGGCCCGAACCCTGCAGGCTCAACCAACAGACCATATGCCTACACACACTAACCCGACATATCCTAACCATACAGATCATACTAACCCTGCAGACCCTAACCCTACATACCCGACCCCATACAGACCCTAACACAGCATACCCTATACATACAGACTCTACTAACCCTACCGATCATAACCCCGCATTTCCTAACCCTGCAGACCCAAACCCTATTGACCCTGCTAATCCTACATACCATGACCCTGCAGGCCCTAACCCTACAGACTCGAACCCTACATACACTAATCTACATACCCTAAGCCCTACAGGCCCCAACCCTACAGACTCTTACCCTACAGACCCCAGCCCTACAGGCCCTTACCCTACATACACTAACCCTACAGACTCTACTAACCCTACATACCCTAAGCTTACATACACTAGCCTCACATACACTAACCTTACACACCCGAACACTGCATGTTCTAACCCTAAGACCATACAAACCCTATGGACCCGAACATTGGAGACTCTAGCCCTACATACCTTAACCCTACAGGACCTACCCCTACAGACCCGACGAGCACCACAGGCCCTAACCCGACAGAGTCTAACTTGCAGGCCCTAACCCTACATACCCTAACCCTGCAGACCCTACTAGCCCTACGTACCCTAACCCCACAGACTCGAGCCCAACGGACCCTAACCCTTGCAGCCCTAACCTACAGACTCTAACCCTACATGCCCCGAGAACCTTACATACACTAACCCGACATACTCTAATCCTACATACCCTGGCCCTATACACCCTAACCGTACAGACCCAAACCCGGCATACCCTACTAACCGTACACGCCCTAACCCTACATAATTAAACCGCACATGCCCTAACCCGGCATACTCTAACCCTACATACCCTAACATTGCAGACCCCGCTAACCCTGCAGGCCCAGACGCTACATACTCTAACCCTACAGACCCTCACCCTACAATCCCTAACCTTACAGATCCCTATCCCGACATACCGTACCTCTGCTAACCCCACAAACCCTAGCCCTGCGAATTCTAACCGACAGACCCTAACCCTACAGACTCTAACCCTACAGACCCTACTAACCGTTCAGGCCCTAACCCTACATACTCCAACCCTACAGACCCGACCCCTACAGGCCGTACCCCTACATACCGTATCCATTCAGACCCTACTAACCCTACATACCGCAACGCTACATACTCTAATCCTACAGGCCCTAACCCCACAGCC